TAATTACTTTTTACCAAAATGTAGCCCATTAAATTCTGCATCGAATGGTATATAGAACAACTTTCAGATGTTGTGAAATAACGTAAAAATTAGCCAAACACTAAAAATGTGCTCTACTTTTCCCCTATATTTTACTACAGTGTTTAGTATTTTGACTATAACATTGTCATTACTCAATGAAAATCAAAACGTTTTCTTACCAAAATGATCAGCGAAAAAGCTCTACAAAAATAGATATAAGAGAAAATTTTTAGAATATCCTTGCTATTCGTTTATGTGTAAAAATAAAAAAGTCCAGGCTTTTTTCGGCCCTCAATGTAAGTTATCCGTAGCGACATCATTAATCGATTTTGATATCAGAAAATTAAAAATGGAACAACAACAGGATACAGTTGTTCTCGATAAAATTCAGGCCATCAAGCAAGATCCAATCAGCTTGTCATATGATGTAGTCGATGGTATTTTATACCAAATTGCGCCTAGAAAGGGTGCCAAGATCATCAGATTACCATATCTACCACAGTCAATGATTTCAAAAGTCATGACTGCTTATCATGATCACCCAACAAGTGGACATTTTGACATAAGACGAACATGGCATAATTAAAAGATCGATATTTCTAACCCAAGATGATGTCAAAAATCGAAAATTATATTAAGTCGTGTGAAAATGTGTCGAATTTAACATCCGAAGAACCAAATCACCAGGTAAAGTACACCCTATCACACCATCCGATGCTATATTCGAAACAATTAGAATGGACTTTTGGGCTCCAAAACCTTATCCACCAATTGAAGAAACAGGTACACGGTAGTAACGGATTATTTATCAAAATATGTTATAGCCAAAGCCATGCCAAATAACACAGTAGCAACAACAGCCCAATTTATCGTCGAAGATGTTATATTGAAATATGGTGTGTCCAGAAAATTAATTACAGATCAAGGACCACGCTTTAAGAACAAATTGCCGGGCAGAATTACGCTGCTTTGTGGATGCAAACACGTCTTTGCAACTACATACCATCCACAACCAACGTACAGTTTGAACGTTTCAATGCAACCTTTTATCCGCAATTGGCAAAATTACATGATCAAAATGTTAATGATTGGGGTAAATACTTATCCGCATGTGTATTTGCCTACAATACTGGAATTCATGCGACCACTGGGTACTTACCATTTCAACTGATTTTTGCCCGCCAACCTGTTTTATCCTTTGATGCACCGAAACCGGTAATCGCATTAACAAAACCAAATGATTATTGGACACATATCAATCTGTTAGTGAATGGTTACAAAAATAGTGTAAAGTACAACATCCACGACCAACAACAGTTGGCGAAACAATGTTATGACAAGGGACGCACCAATCCAATTTAGTATTTATCAAACAACATGGCATGGCTCTGGCTATAACATATTTTGATAAATAATCCGTTACTACCAACACGTACCTGTTTCTTCAGTTGGTGGATAAGGTTTCACGGTCCAACAGATGCACGCAATATGTTAGTTGTTATAATGAAAATCAAACATGACAAATACAAATTAGGTTCGGAAAAAGGTGCTTTAATTGGTTATTATAGCTATTATCAAGTACCAAAGCACCAGGTGTACCAACACTATTCACTCAAGATGTCAAAAAGGCGAACCGAAATCTTTAAGAGCAATAGTCAGACTTCAAAGTATTACTGGTGGACAAGGAATGTTAAAATATGATTGTAAGGGGGGGTTGTAAAACAAATAGATGTAAATGTGAACAAACAAATGTATTATTTAATTCGCTGCCATCGTACAACAACATGTGGTAATAAATGATCTCTAATGTATTAAACTGTCTTCATGTTATGTATGTTCTAATTTTTACTGAATTACACTTGAAGATTAAACCTTAACTATATATTTTGATAATAGCATTGTCAGTCAAGTAATAACTAAATATTTAGCTCGCCTGAAATAACTTCTACAAACTTCGACACGACATATACAAAGGGTGAAATTCAGACACATAATGATGATTTGTCTTTGAACCAAAAAAAGATACTATAGAAAATTATTTTTTTTGAGTGGTTGCCCGATGCATGCTTTTGCTTTTAAATTTTACAATTGTTGATCGATATGGTGCGAACATGTAAATATAATTCCAAAATATGCATTGGATTTGTCTACTTGTTCGATGAATGTTTTCGTCAAGTCTTCGCGACAGACGAAACGTATTACGATGCTCGTTCGATATATATTATTATAAATTTTGTTTAATAAAAGAAATGTTGAAAAAATTAACACAGTTATGATTAGAAGGAGGTGAGCTCATTACATCTTAACATAAATTGACTGAGGACAGAGGACAGCACAAAAATGCATATATAGAAACGATATATGACGACAACATAAAAAAGAGAAAGTAATGACAACAATAGGATTAAAAGAAAAACAGACTAACTAATGAACGAACAGGAGAAAAGGATATCATGAGATTAGAATCTTTGTGTGTCGCGAATAAATGTAATTACGATATTATATAGTTCATTCATTTCTGTTGTGTTTAAAGATGTTGCAGGTTTTAGAAAGAGAATGTGTTCAAGAGTAAGGGTATCGTTTACCAGAGCGTTCAAGTCATTTTCAAAGATAGTTCGTATTTGCGGGTAATACTGACACCCCAAGAAGATATGCTGTACTGTTTCAGCTTTCCCACAAACACACTGATAGCTACTAACTAAGTTCTTTTTATATAGGTGAGCATTCAAGCGAGAAAAATTTACGCGCATTTGATTAAGAATCATGTCATGTTTTCTTTCAATGTTTTTGAATCTCGGCCATTTATAGCAAGGAAAAAAATAATCGTTTATTGGAGAATGAAATTTTCTTAAAGTTGGAATTGTAGTGATAGCGGTAGGTAAGGCATTCCATTGCTTAATTGTCCATGAAAAAAATGTAGTTTCGAGCTTAACTTTATGGGTACGGTATGCGTTCATGCGTTTGTTAGAAGCAGATCGCAAGGTCATAGTTGTTGTTGCCACTGATCTTGGTATTCTATCAACTAGAAAAAGTGGAGTAAGGCCTCTAAATATTTGAATAATAATAAAATTTTGTGTGTCGCAAATAGATGTTGATATAAGCTTTATTCTGTCAGAATACAAGCGGAAAAATTCCATTATAGTATTCTAAACTAAAACTATCGAAAAACACAAAATCAATTTTGTACGAATAGAGATTCGAACACGTGAACTTAGCTTTGTAGTAAACTACTACAAATAGATGTTCAAGTGATAGCCATCCTAGTATGATGACGACTTTATCTCGCGAACTGAGACGCACAGCACCACTAACAGTCAGTGCAGCGGTGTACTGTAGTTTTACAATTGGTTTTAAATAAGCTAATACAAGGCAAAGGAGTATTTGCAGTCTGAATCTCTTTCGCACATGCATAGATTAAATCTTCATAACTTAACACTGGCAAAATATACGATTTGTAGATCCGGTCGAGTGTAGTCGTACTTAGAGTATATCTGAAACAGCGCAAAGACCAGTCTAGCTTTGGTGTTAAGTGCAAAAGTGCTTTTCTAAATTCAAGAATAACTGCCAAAATTCGGTCCACTCTAAAACGTCTTTCAAATCTTGATTTAAAATATTTTCACTTATAAAAATATTGTTCGAAGTATGATACACTGATGTATCGTCCACAAATAAACGAAGTTTCGACTGTTTATTATCAGAAATATCGTCGATGAATATTAAAAATAAAAGTGGTCGTAAAATCGAGCCTTGAGGGACACCACGGTTTATAACAAGAGGTGGAGAAGATTGTCCATTTACAAGCGTAGTGCATTTTCGGGCAGTTAGATAACTCTAAAACCATTTTAAAAGTCCGGGACGCACGCCTTTTTGTATTAGTTTGTATAAAAGTCCTTTATGCCAAACTTGGTCGAATGCCTTTGCAAAATCAAGAAATACAGCAGTTGTAAATTTATTAGAATCTAAATTTTCTTCTATTTCATGCAATAAATCGACCAACTGATTTGTCGTAGAATCTCCCTGAATAAAACCTGATTGTAACGGTGTTAGCAGGTCATGTTTTTTCAGGTGTCCATATAGCTTACTATAAACCAATCTTTCGAGAATTTTAGACATAGAAGGAAGAAGTCTAATAGGTCTATAATTTGTCGGTAAAGTTGTATCTCCATCTTTAAATAGTGGATGTATAACTCCAATTTTCCATTTTTCCGGAAAAACTCCTGACGAAAGAGAATAATTACAAATATGTTTCAAGTCTTCAACAATAACTGGCCCGGCTTCTTTTAAAATTTTTGAACTTATGCCTTGACTGGTGGCTTTACTAACGTCAATCGCTTTTAAGCATTTTTCAACTTCATTAGCGGTTACCATAAAAAGATTTAATGTAGGAGTTGAGAGATTGAGCTTATCAAATGAAATATCTGTCATAATCGGCCGTAGTCATGGTACATATGGAAGCAAAATGTTGATTAAGAACATATGCTTTCATTTTGTCGTCGGACCATCCCTGATTATTTTGATCTCTCAATTTAGAAATTTTCGAAGAGCGAGACCGTCGAAATAATGTTTTGACTAAATTTCACCACGATTTTTTTTGTTGCATTAGTTTGGCGTATTTTTTTCAGATAATCTTCTTTCTCAACTTCACATGCTTTTTCGAATGCGATAGCTACTTTTAGATACTTCGGTTTAGAAGATGCTGCGGAATTAGTTTGTTTTTGCTTTCGATATAAACGTTTTTTCTGTCGAGAAAGTTGTCTTAACTTTTGAGTAAACCATGGCTGATCTAATGAAAATATACGAACTACTATCCGTACCAAATGGTCGTGCAGTCGGTTGCTTTTTGAATAACTCCTCGCGGGAGATAGATAATGAAGTGCGGTTTTCAGCATTAGAAAGAGGACACTTTAAGACATCGTTTCATAAGCGAGAGTCAGTTTCAGGAAAATTTCCTAACTTCGTTTTCCAGGAGATCTTTGAAAAACCAGGTCGTGTGTGCGAATTTTCCAATAGGATTGTATTGATTTTTTTCATGAGCTGATAGCCCGGGATGTTCTCTTGAAAATGGAAGCCAGGCGAGACCTTGATTTTCCGTGGTTCGGGCGTTGTATCGGATTTCCTACGAGTCCCAGGACTGACACCCGGTGACTATTGGTAGCCTTAAAGACGGATGGACTATGGGTAATCGACCATGCTGAGTCTCGTGGCAATATTGGATTTTAGAAAAAAATTTAAAAATCTAGCGAAAAGCGAGTTTTACGAAAATTA